ATTTTAAAGGAAATTATAATTTTAAATGTAATTATAGTTTTAAAGTTATCGTTTTAATTTAAAGACAATCTACGTGGATGAATACTGGGTGAAAAAAAGGAATGTGTGATTCGAGCACACTATTGGGAGGATGAAGCTAAATTATTCTGGCTTCGAGCAGTGGGCAGTTTATGTGACGACGTAAAGAAAATAAAGATGTTATTGTGTAATGTTTGTGCTCAGAAATCCAGGAGGCTGCTCCCTCTGAGACGTTTTAGATTGCCCCTCCCCCCCTTCCGCCCCTCATCCCCCCTCCACCCCCCCCCCCCCTTCCGCCCCTCATCCCCACTCCACCCCCCCCCCCACACACACACACGCACACACATACACACACTCACAAGGGACAAGAGGTCTGGGACCTGTGTGACCAAGGGACTAGAGGTCTGAGAAAGGAGAGTTGACTACAGGAAAGGGGACTACAGGAGGATAAGGAACTATCTGGGAGAAGAGCAGTGGGAGGAAGAAATTAGAGGAAAAACAGTCCAAGATATGATGGACCTAGTCATACGGAAATGCCAGGAGGCCGAAGAGAGATTTATACCAACAGTAAAGAGAAAAAATAAGAGGGAATATAATAACCCATGGTTTAATAGACAGTGCCAGGAAGCAAAAATGGCCAGCAGGCGGGAGTGAAGGAAGTACAGAAGACAAAGGACAGAGGACAACAGGATCAGATGCAACTGAGCTAGGAACGATTACATTAACATAAGAAGAGTATCGGAAAGAAATTATGAAAACGATATTGCGATCAAAGCGAAAAAGCAACCTAAATTACTACACAACCATATAAGAAGAAAAATGTTGGTGAACAACCAAGTGACAAGACTAAGGAAAACAGAGGGGGCATATACAGAAAGTAACAAGGAAATCTGCGAGGCACTGAATGCCAGTTTCCATGGAGTGTTCACAACAGAGCCTAAACAGCTCCCATTGTTAGAAGAGATTACCCCTAGAGGAAAGACTATCAGATATAGCAGAGGTGACAGCAGAGGAGGTAATGAAACAGTTGACAACACTGGATGCAACTAAAGCGGTTGGGCCAAACAAAGTATCACCGTGGATACTAAAAGAGGCAGCGCAGGCCCTCAGCGTGCCTCTGGCAAGGATCTTTAATGAATCACTTATGTCGGGCGAATTGTCTAATCGCTGGAAGAGGGCAAATGTCGTTCCGATTTTCAAGAAAGGCGATAGGGAAGAGGCACTTAACTATAGACCTGTATCACTGACAAGCATCCCCCTGTAAAATACTTGAAGGAATAACTAGGCTAAAACTGGTTGCATACCTAGAGAACATTAGGTTTGTAAACAAACATCAACATGGGTTCTGGAAAGGGAAATCTTGCCTAACAAACCTTTTGGAATTCTTTGATAAAATAACGAGGATAAGGATGAACAGAGAAGGTTGGGCAGACTGCATATTTCTGGATTGCCAAAAAGCCTTTGATACAGTACCTCACATGAGACTGCTATTCAAACTTGAGAGGTAGAAGGGAGTAAGCGGAAAGGCCCTTTCATGGATAAGGAACTACCTAACAGGAAGGAGTCAGAAAGTTACGGTAAGGGGGGAGAAGTCGGACTGGCGAACAGTAACGAGTGGAGTACCTCAAGGATCGGTGCTGGGACCAATTCTATTTCAAATATACATTAATAATATGTTTACAGGAGTGGGATCCTACATGTTAATGTTCGCGGATGATGCAAAATTAATGAGAAGAGTTGTGACAGATGAGGATTGTAGGGTCTCCAAGAGGACCTGGACAGGTTGCAGAGATAAACGATTCGAGAAAGAGACCTGGGAGTGGACGTAACACCTAATCAAACTTCTGAGGCACATATAAATAGGATAACGACAGCAGCGTACTCTATATTGGCGAAAATTAGAACTTCATTCAGAAACCTAAGTGAGGAAGCTTTTAGGGCGCTTTACACTGCCTACGTGAGACCAGTCTTAAAGTATGCCGCACCATCATTGAGCCCCCACCTGAAGAAACACATAAGGAAACTGGAAAAGGTTCAGAGGTTTGCGACGAGGCTTGTCCCAGAGTTACGAGGAATGGGATATGAAGAGCGTCTGAAGGAACTGAACCTTACGACACTAGAGAAAAGAAGGGAGAGAGGAGATATGATAGGGACATATAAAATAATCAGGGGAATTGACAAAGTGGAAATAGATGAAATGTTCACACGTAATAGTAACAGAACGAGGGGACATGGGTGGAAGCTGGAAATTCAGATGAGTCACAGAGATGTTAGGAAGTTTTCTTTTAGCGTGAGAGTAGTGGAAAAATGGAATGCACTTGGGGAACAGGTTGTGGAAGCAAACTCTATTCATAATTTTAAAATTAGGTATGATAGGGAAATGGGACAGGAGTCATTGCTCTAAACAACCGATGGCTAGAAAGGTGGGATCCAAGAGTCAATGCTCGATACTGCAAGCACAAATAGGTGAGTACAAATAGGCGAGTACACACATACACACACACACATGATCACTACCTACAAAATTCTCAGAGGAATTGACAGGGTAGATAAATATAAACTGTTTAACACGGGTGGTACGCGAACAAGGGGACACAGGTGGAACCTGAGTACCCAAGTGAGCCACAGAGACGTTAGAAAGAACTTTTTCAGTGTCAGAGTAGTTAACAGATGGAATGCATTAGGCAGTGATGTGGTGGAGGCAGACTCCATACACGGATTCAAATGTTGATATGATAGAGCCCAGTAGTTTTAGGAATATGTACACCAGTTGATTGACAGTTGAAAAGCGGGACCAAAAAGCCAGAGCTCTACCCCAAGCACCCTGAAAAAGTTCTTTCTAACGTCCCTGTGGCTCATTTGGGTACTCAGTCTCCACCTGTGCCCCCTTGTTTGTTCGGGTACCACCCGCGTTAAACAGTTTATCCTTATCTACCCTGTCAATTCCTCTGAGAATTTTGTAGGTAGTGATCATGTCTCCCCTTACTCTTCTGTCTTCCAGAGTTGTGAGGAGCATTTCACGCAGCCTTTCCTCGTAACTCATGCCTCTTAGTTCTGGGACTAGCCTAGTGGCATACATCTGAACTTTTTCCAGCTTCGTTTTGTGCCTAACAAGGTACAGGCTCCATGCTGGAGCCGCATACTCCAGGATTGGTCTTACTTATGTGGTATACAAGGTTCTAAATGATTCCTTACACAGATTCCTGAAGGCTGTTCTCATGTTAGCCAGCTTCGCGTATTGCGCAGATGTAATTCTTTTTATGTGGGTTTTAGGAGACAGGTTTGGTGTGATATCAACTCCTAGATCTTTCTCTCTGCCCGTTTCATTAAGTAATTCATCTCCCATTCTGTATCCTGTGTCTGGCCTCCTGTTTCCATCGTCTATTTTCATTACCTTACATTTACTCGGGTTGAACTATAGTAGCCATTTGTTGGACCATTCATTCAGTCTAGGTCATCTTGTAACCTCATACTATCTTCCTCTGTTTTAATCCTCCTCATAATTTTTGCATCATAAGTAAACAATGAGAGTAACGATTCTATACCATCAATTACTTATATCAGAAACAGTATAGGTCCATGGACTGAACCCTGTAGGACTCCACTGGTGACTCATCGCCAATCTCAGACCTCACCCCTCACAGTGACTCGTTGTCTTCTGTTGCTTAGGTACTCCCTTATCCAATGGAGTACCTTCCCTTACACTCCTGCCTGCATCGCCAACTTTTTCACTAGCCTCTTGTGTGGTACTGTGTCATAGGCTTTCTGGCAATCCAAAAATATGCAGTCTGCCCCACCCCTCTCTTTGTTGCCTGATTTTTGTTGTCTGGTCGTAGAATTCAATTAATCTTGTGAGGCAGGACTTGCCATCCCCGAACCCATGGTGATGCTGTGTTACAAAGTTCTTCGCTCCAGATGTTCCACTAGCTTTTTTCGCAAAATCATCTCCATCAACTTCCATGGAATGCAAGTTAGGGACACTGGCGTGTAGTTGTGTGTGTGTGTGTGTGTGTGTGTGTGTGTGTGTGTGTGTGTGTGTGTGTGTGTGTGTGTGTGTGTGTGTGTGCGTGTGTGTGTGTGTGTGTATATGTGTGTTTGTATGTATGTATAAAAATCATATATAATATAAATCATTACTAGCGTCCATAGCCTGGTTGGTAGAGCCTCAGACTCACTTCCAAACAGGTCAGAGGTTCACATCCTTGAGTTCATGGAGCTATATGTATACAAGTTAATGACTCCATTTAAAATGATAAACATATACACACACACACATATATATATATATATATATATATATATATATATATATATATATATATATATATATATATATATATATATATATGTCTCGCTAACATAGGGTATAATGACCTCCCAAAAAATGTGAATCACTTGTTAATGCTTATAGGTATCATAAATTATATAATATCTGATAAATGTTTAGTGTTCAACATAACACTTTTTTTGATTTAGTGTATATTGAACGTTGAACAATGATAAGAGAAGTACTTCGTGTGTATGATTGTATATAGAGAAAAAACATGAATACGTAATTTAATTTCTTATAGCCAGTGAGTTCCTTTAAAAGCTATTCGATTGTTTAGAAACATAATGTTACGTCTGTATTGTACGTCTCTAAACGTGAAAATATAATTTATCCAATAAAATAGATAGTAAATCTGAATAGATATTAAATGTGTGTTTACACACATTTAATTAATACAATAATTTAATTAATTCCCGTAATTAAAACAATACCTAATTACAGTGTTTCACTGTATTACACTATCAACTGTTTGATGGCCTTGTTATACCAGATATGTGTTATGGGCTTAAAGTCATAGTAATAATGATAATATTGATCTTTATTACTGTTTTAAATCTACAGTTGAGAGTGAAGAAAGCACTATCTGGCACCCAGCGATGACGTCAGAGACGGTGAGGGTGATGAACCATACGGCAGCGGCGGCCAGAGAGAGGTCAGTGTCGCGTGAGCCGGGCTGGTGGTAGGACGTGCAGACGGGGAGCGCCAAGGTAAGACTCGCTGCTCATACTCGTGGACGCTGAGGTAACTTTATGGAGAAGACAGATTTTGTGCAGGCTACGTTGTATTATATCATGGGTGTAAGAAAATACATTGCAACTTTTAAGAGGAAGATGTCGCAATGCTATGAAATTATTTTTGTATATATATAAATTATTCGTTTTAATATATATAAGTTTTACAAGTTGCATAGACTTTGAATTAGAGGTGTTTGACATTGCATGTTAGCTTCTCGTTTGAAATGAGATGTCCTATTGACATTTTGGTCATTATGTTATAGAGTAAGTTTTGCGATCCTCCATTCTCCCGAGAAATCCTTCATAATTCCTCTAAGAGTATAAACGTGAGAATAGAGGTCGCCCATAGGATATATTATGTGCATTATATATAGAAATATGTATTATATATGTGCAGTACCTCCTTATATAGAAAACGGATCACTACTTAGCATAAAGGTCTCCTTCCGCACACTCGCTGAATGGCAATTGGATCACTACTTACGCGGCGCATTAAAATCACCATAATAGAATTTATAAACTCGTTTGTACAAATCATTGCTGCTTTGAGTCAATTGAGTGTCCATCTCTGGGCGTTGAAGTAGCCAGCGGTCACTACTCTTTGACATAGGTGTTCACACAACCTCGGCTCAGGAAGTGAAAACGTAATAATCAGTATTTTCGTTTTTCTTCTTAGTTTAATTACATCTCTATAACATTAAAAGTGATGGCATCATTTTTTTTTAAATTGTATTATTATATTTAATATTTGGCTTGGTTTGAATCATATTTCAAAAATAATTAAAAATTAATTAAAATATATGTTATATATAATAATAAATGAAATACCGAATATGATGATTAGTAATAATTAGGAGTTATATCATCAAAACTGTTACCAAAACAGAAAACTGCCTTTTTATCTCTTGTTAGAGAAGTGTAATTTCAAGTTTGACCGGAAGTGCTTAAGTTAAGTTCTTGGAATAAACAATGTTCCCGTGTCAGTTGATTGTTACTCTCATCAGCAATTGTGCAGTTAAAACATTAAAGTTTTTGCTGTTATTAAAGAAAATTGTCTGAGATATCTTATTAGGGAACATATTGTCTTACAGAAATAGGACTGTAATGGGCTAGCGTGTGTGTGTGTGTGTGTGTGTTTCGTGAATGTGTCATGTGTTTGGTAAGTGTGTATGTGTGTGTGTTTGGTGTTTGGTGAACGGTGATACTGTCTGTCTGTTCTTCATTGGTGGTAGTGTTTGTAAACGCGTGTGAGTCAAGTATAGCGCTTTCTTACCTATTTATTGTGCATGTTTTCTCATTTCTTCCCGAGTCCCCTTTCCGTCGTCCTCTTCTAAAGACTTTTCACATAGTTAACTTTTATCTTTCTTACTGGTTTGAGAGCCAAGTGCTGCTACGGTTAGAACGACTTCGTTTTCTACCGAGTGTCTTGTAAGGCGAGAGGGAGTCTAACAGACGGTGTTCTCTTTTAGAGAGTGTGACTGTGTCAAATTTGGTTATTATGGTCAGTGGTCTATATCAAGGCCAGTTATTATAGTAAATGTCTATGTCAAGGTCAGTTATTATAGTAAATGTCTATATCAAGGCCAGTTATTATAGTAAATGTCTATGTCAAGGTCAGTTATTATAGTAAATGTCTATGTCAAGGTCAGTTATTATAGTAAATGTCTGTGTCAAGGTCAGTTATTATAGTAAATGTCTATGTCAAGGTGAGTTATTATAGTAAATGTCTGTGTCAAGGTCAGTTATTATAGTAAATGTCTATGTCAAGGTCAGTTATTATAGTAAATGTCTATGTCAAGGTCAGTTATTATAGTAAATGTCTATGTCAAGGTCAGTTATTATAGTAAATGTCTATGTCAAGGTCAGTTATTATAGTAAATGTCTATGTCAAGGTCAGTTATTATAGTAAATGTCTATGTCAAGGTCAGTTATTATAGTAAATGTCTATGTCAAGGTCAGTTATTATAGTAAATGTCTATGTCAAGGTCAGTTATTATAGTAAATGTCTATGTCAAGGTCAGTTATTATAGTAAATGTCTATGTCAAGGTCAGTTATTATAGTAAATGTCTATGTCAAGGTCAGTTATTATAGTAAATGTCTATGTCGAGGTCAGTTATTATAGTAAATGTCTATGTCAAGGTCAGTTATTATAGTAAATGTCTATGTCAAGGTCAGTTATTATAGTAAATGGCCTATGTTCAAGGTCAGTTAGTATAATAAATGGCCTATAATCAAGGTCAATTATATTAAATGGCCTATGTTCAAGGTGAATTGCTGCAAATGTGTTTCAAAGATCGTTACCGCTGTCAGCGTGAGAGTAGCCTATGCCAGTGTTATTGTTGAGGAATTCAGCGTGTTTCTGTTAAGAGTTTTTTCCCTGTCGGTCGTGTGAGTCAAGAGAGCTCTTGGTTTAACGTCTATGGTAAAAGCTGTTGCTACTGAATTGAAATTGAAATAAGTTTATTGAGGTAAAATACACACACAGGGATGAGGTAGCTGAAGCTATCCAGGCTTCAGAATAGCTGAAGCTATTCAGGCTTCAGAATAGCTGAAGCTATGCAGGCTTCAGAATAGCTGAAGCTATGCAGTCTTCAGAATAGCTGAAGCTATGCAGGCTTCAGAATAGCTGAAGCTATGCAGGCTTCAGAATAGCTGAAGCTATGCAGGCTTCAGAATAGCTGAAGCTATGCAGTCTTCAGAATAGCTGAAGCTATGCAAGCTTCAGAATAGCTGAAGCTATGCAGGCTTCAGAATAGCTGAAGCTATTCAGGCTTCAGAATAGCTGAAGCTATGCAGGCTTCAGAATAGCTGAAGCTATGCAGGCTTCAGAATAGCTGAAGCTATTCAGGCTTCAGAATAGCTGAAGCTATGCAGTCTTCAGAATAGCTGAAGCTATGCAGTCTTCAGAATAGCTGAAGCTATGCAGTCTTCAGAATAGCTGAAGCTATGCAGTCTTCAGAATAGCTGAAGCTATGCAGGCTTCAGAATAGCTGAAGCTATGCAGTCTTCAGAATAGCTGAAGCTATGCAGGCTTCAGAATAGCTGAAGCTATGCAGGCTTCAGAATAGCTGAAGCTATGCAGGCTTCAAAATAGCTGAAGCGAGGTGAGAATAGTTGAAGCTATTCTCACCCCGATCAGTACAACGTGTTCATACATATATATAGACACATCACAAACAATAAACATATTACCGAGCATTCTGAGAGATAAACATATACATTTCTTCTGTTGCTACTAGGATGTGTTATATGCCAAAGGTGCTTGTCATGTTGCTGTTGTCAGGGTCAGGAACTTGCTATAGTGTCTGTCAGGTGACTGTGTTGAGTGCGTGTTGTCAGTGTCTGGATCTGACATTACCTGACAAATGGCTCCTTGCTGAGTGCGTTCTTGATAGCCCATACGTCATGTCTCTCTGCAAATCGTTCTCCTCGGTTGAATACAGCTATATATATATATATATATACATATATATATATATATATATATATATATATATATATATATATATATATATATATATATATATAGAGAGAGAGAGAGAGAGAGAGAGAGAGAGAGAGAGAGAGAGAGAGAGAGAGAGAGAGAGAGAGAGAGAGAGAGAGAGAGAGAGAGAGAGAGAGAGAGAGAGAGAGAGAGAGAGAGAGAGAGAGAGAGAGAGAGAGAGAGAGAGAGAGAGAGAGAGAGAGAGAAAACGGGAGAGAGGAGTAACAAAGAAAGGGAGGGAAGGAGGGAGCAGTGGGTGAGAGACTGGGAGGGAGGGAGAGAGAACAGGGAAGGTCACCTTACCTAACTTTGCGGTTACCCTGCGGTGATTCCGGGGATCAAGGTTCCCGGTGCCCGGTCTCTGACCAGGCCTCCTTGTTGATGGTGGACTGGTCAACCAGGCTGTTGAACTCGGCTGATCGCAGCCTTACGTATGAATTACAACCTGGTTGGCCAGATATTCTTTGGAGGTGTCAATCGAGTTCTCTTTTGAACACTGTGAGGGGGTCGGCCAGTTATGCCCCTTATGTGTAGTGGAAGTGTATTGAACAGTCTCGGGCCTCTGATGTTGATAGAGTCCTCTCATAGAGTACCTATTGCACCTCTGTTCTTCAATGGAGGTATTCCGCACATCCTGCCATGCTTACTGGTCCCATGTGGTGTTATTTCTGTGTGCAGGTTTGGGACCAGACCCTCTAATATTTTCCACGTGTAAATTATTATGTATCTTTCCCGCCTGAGCTGTAGAAAATACAAATTTAGGTGTTTGAGTCGGTCCCAGTAATTTAGATTGTTTATTGAGTGTATTCTAGCGATGAAGGATCTCTGCGCGCTCTCCAGGTCATCAGTTTTTCCAGCTTTGAAAGGGGCTGTCAATGTGTGACATTATTCCACTCTAGAGAGCACTAGCGTCTTCAAAAGTATCATCATTGGTACGGCATCTTTTGTTTGAAAAGTTTTTGCTATCCAACCTGTCATTTTTCTTGCAGTTGTGACAGCTACTTTATTGTGCTCTTTAAAGGTTAGATCATCTGCTATGATTACACCCAAATCCTCTACATTCCTTTTACTTTCTATGGTATGATTTGACTGCGTTTTATACGTGGGTTTCCGTTTTTATATTTTATTTTTTTTCCATAACGCAGGACCTGGAACTTATCTTCTTTAAATACCATGCTATTTTCTGTAACCCATGGAACGATTTTATTTACATTATTTTAGAGATTTTCTGTGTCCTCTATGTTGTCTACTCTCATAAAGGAAAGGGGAAGAGACATGGAAGGGAGGGAGAGAGAGAGAGAGAGAGAGAGAGAGAGAGAGAGAGAGAGAGAGAGAGAGAGAGAGAGAGAGAGAGAGAGAGAGAGAGAGAGAGAGAGACCCGCGGGTACCGATGTATTCATAAATATGTATGTAATGTATGTATGTATGTATGTATGTATGTATGTATGTATGTATGTATGTATGTATGTATGTATGTATAGACGCTTG